ACGTGCCAGTTTTGCGCGAAACAAGACGCACGCGTCTCAAGCTGTTTCGATGCGTTCTCGGTTGCACCAACAGATGCCAGTACAACGCCTTCCATGATGACGACAGGGTCGGTCATGGTTGCCTCGGACATCGTGATGCTGGAAGTCCACGTTGTGTAGCTCAGTTTCTTCGCGGAAGAGCAGCCATGTAGCTCTGAACCAGCGGTGCTTGGGATCCTGGCTGAAACGAAGATGCGATCAAACGATCTGGGAACGACCGCCTCGTTCAGTGCTTGATCGTCGCCAGATATACTGGGAAAGACAAGATGAAGGACCGAGTCCAGCGTGGCAGGGTGAACGACATAGGGGTATTCGAAGCCCTTAGGCATGACTGCCTTGGTATCAGGTACCTTAATGATGCCATAGCTGGAGCTAGGACCAGCATACAGCTCAGTCATGTTGCGGAAGGTCGGTCCGTATTGCATGCCGATCGTCTCGACTGTGTCGTATAAGAAGCTTCGTGCCGGCTTCTGGCAGACATCCCTAGCCTTGGAAAGAGACGACATGTAGCGCTCGTTCTCAAGCGCTAGCTCACGCTCCATCGAAGGAGAGAAGGCTTTGAAGACGACGGAGACTAGACCACGAGCATGAGCACTCCAAGAGTTCATCTCCTCACTCCACGAAGAGACAACAAACTCGTAAAGCGTGGACGACGGCGCGGCTCGTGTTCCAGTACGACGATTATGCAGCTGTGTCATGACTTCAATACCCTTCTCCGTATCAGGTACGCGAAGCGCAGTGTCGATGCTAACGTCGCGCAACTCGAAACCATACACTTTGTCGGCATTGGTCTCCTGGGCTAATTGGTGCGCCGCTTCAATAGCCATGACGAGCATGCCCGCACCTGGATACAGAATATCGCCCTGGACCTTGTGCTCACGGATCCATGGATTTTCGTTGCACCGCAGGAAGTTGCGCCATGTGTGCTCTGGCGTTCCAGTAAGGCGATAGCCGACAAGGTCGGTACGTGGCGACTTGCGAAGGCGGTGTTGCCGGCTGAGGTGGGATTCGTCCCAGTACGCCTTGTGGTTCCAGGCGTATGGAGCTAGGTCTACCAACATGCTGGTGTTGTCGGGAGAAACGTCATTGGCTTTGCTCAAATCGACTTTGCATCCATGCGCCCAGAGATGGCCCATGGCTTCCAACATAGTAGCAGCGCCATCGTGGTTGCGGCGAAGCAGATTAGTGTAGGTCGTATCAGCAGCACGGTTCGCACTGGCGAAGATGTCTAGAAGGTAGCTGCGCAAGGCAGAGTGAGGGCCGAGCTCGACGAACAGGTTGGCGAAGGCCTTGCGCGACTTGTTCTCTTGGGGGTGGCTCAGAAGGGAGCGGGTAGCCGCAACAAAGTTGACAGGAGACACAAGGTTATCCACCCAATAGGATGGCTTCATCTGTGCAGGATCAACCAAGCTTCCTGTTACCGAGGAAAACATCGAGACGGTCGCAATAGAGCCATGTGGGATGCCCTCCAAAGCCCTTTCATACTGTTCGCGAGCTGATTCCATATGGAAAGAATGGTATGCGACATACATGGGCAGTCGGGTGCACGGTATCTGCGCGTCTTTCAACTGTGTCTCTAGCTCGCTAATAGCTGAAGCGTCGCCGGCGATAGTGCAGGCTTTGGTGGAGTTGAAGCATCCCACGACTGCTCGACCACTCTTCAGGCCTTCGAGTTGATGCTGTATGCTGTCGGCGCTGGCAGAAACAGCCAACATGCCACCGTTCTTGGAAACAGTCTTGCTGACCTGTCCTCTCAACCAAGCAATCTTGACTGCCGCTTCTTGATCGATGAAGCCAGCAGTGTACGCAGCCGCAATTTCACCGCTGGAGTGGCCGAGAACGGCAACAGGTCTTACGCCGAAACTGCTCAAGAGGTCCACGAGTGCGACCTGGATAGCGGTACAGGCCGGCTGACTGTAGTCGGTCTCACGTAGCTTGGACTCAGTCTCGCTGCGATTAAGCTCTTCGCCAAGGCTCCACGGGCAACCGAACGATTTGAGCATGGCCTCCGACCTCTGCATGCTCTCAGCAAAGGCCTTGTACGACGAAAGACCTCTCCCCATCGCATGCCACTGCGCGCCCTGGCCAGTGAAGACAAAGGCAATTCGTGGTATCGCAGAAGTGGAGGAACGGACCACTGGAGCAAGGCTCGTAAGCTTCTCTCGCAGGCCGCTGACGCTCGAGGCGACGGCATACGATTTCCAAGGCAACGCGGTTCTCTTGGAGCTCAGCGTGAATGCCAAGTCGTTGAGGAACGAAGGTACCGTGGATGTCTTCAAGGCCAGATAGTCTTGCAGGCGTTCGGCGTTGCGCTTGACTCCTTCTTGGTCGTTGGAAGACAGGACAAACACCCTCGATGTGGGATGAAGGTCGCGCAAGATCTCGCTCGAAACATCACTCGTGTTGTCGCTGCAGTCTCCGCTGGTCGTCTCAACAGTGCTTGCAGAGCTACTAGGACTGTCACTGAGCTCAGCAACGCGCACGCTGCCTGGGCTGGGAAGGGGTGGCGTTGTCGCATGTCGACCTTTCAAGCCATGTCGTGACAGGAAAGACGCCGCGTCCTCAAGGATAACATGTGCATTCGCACCGCCAAAACCGAAGCTGTTGACGCTTGCGCGGCGAGGACCGTTGTGTGGCCACGGCGTCAGCTTGGAAGCTATCTTGACATTCTCCGGTAAATCAATGTCGGGATTGAGCTTCTCGAACCTGGAGGATATCAGTATATGCAGATTGAGAGATTCAGCGATTTACTGACCAGAGATTCGGCAGGATCATGCCTCGCTCAACAGTCAACGCAGCCTTGATGATACCCGCTACACCAGCTGCGCCCTCGAGGTGACCAATGTTGGTCTTGACTGATCCGACGTATAGATCTGACGACCGGTTCTCGACTGATCCAATGGTCTCAAGAATAGCTCGGGCTTCGAGTGGATCGCCGGCTTGTGTACCCGTTCCGTGCGCTTCGACATATCCTGTCTCTGCTGGATCCACACCAGCCTGCCGGTATGCGGTTCGGATCAGTTCTTGTTGCGCCTCGCTGTTTGGCAACGAGATGCCTGGTGTGCGACCATCTTCGTTAGCGGCCGTGGCCAGCACGACTGCTCGGATGTTGTCGCCGTCGCGGATTGCTGCGTCTAGAGGCTACATACCGCCACTCGTCAGTCAAATTCCTCATCCCGAAACCACGGCGGAAGCGCTTAGTACATACCTTCAAAATCGTGACGCCGAATCCTTCTCCACGGGCGAAACCATTCGCGTCTGCATCCCACATCTTGCTCTTGCCTTCAGGCGACAGAATCTTAGCAGCGCCCAGGAGGATGGACATATCCGGTCCGAACATCAGGTTGGCACCACCAACCACGCTCATCTCGGCTTCGCCTGTGCGGATGCTTTGGCAGGCTAGATGGAATGCTGTCAAACTTGATGAACAGGCCGTGTCGACTGTCAGTGAAGGCCCCCGCAGATTGTAGAACCACGACAGTCTGTTGGAGGCTAGAGATGCTGACATGCCGGTCGCGTCTGCAGAGAAGGCTTAGCTTGGACCAACATCATATTGAATGGATCACCTACGGTATATTGAGGGCCCTTCGTTATCACGGGCTTGCAGGTTGGGAAAGTCTGCTGTGAAGGTTCCGATGTAGCAGGATGTTTGTGTGCCTGAGACTTGCTCCAAGGTCAAACCGGCGTTCTCGAAGCCCTCATACGTGGCTTCCAGTAGGATGCGATGTGTCGGATCCATGGCCTTCGCTTCCTTCGGCGTGATGCTGAAGAAAGGAGCATCGAACACCTTGAAGTCTTGTTCCAGGAAGTGCGCATGTCTGTCGCAACAGCACATCAGTATGGTCAACAACGTACGCACGGCAAGAGGTTGAGCCTACCTTTGTTGGATGCTACCTAGCCGCTCTGGATCTGGATGGTAGAAAGCGTCGACGTTGTAACGGTCCTTGGGGATCTCGGTGCGTGCGCTGCGGCCTTCTACGAGCATACGGTAGAAGGCTTCGGGGTCGCGAGCATCGCCTGGACCCCGGAAAGAGATACCGATTATGGCGATTGGCTTGTTCATTGTGACAGCTTGAAGAGGATGGGGGATTGTGAGAGATGGTAGACAGCTGTGTGGTGGCAGCTCGGAGAGAGGAAGAGGAATTACGGGGAGTAGCACACAGCTGTGTGATGCGGTAGGTATGGAGAGACCTGGTGCGAAAGCCTACTATGAGGGCTATAGGTACATATCCTCTTCAGAGGTCTCATAAGACTCTCATCTACTAATCCTACAGGTTTCGCGCCGCAATGGCCCGATCGCCGTTCTCAAGCCCACGCATATCGACTGCAATTAGGCAGGAGCGATATGAAGCCGCTCGAACATATCGATCAAACCATCCAATACCGCTGTGTTGTTTGAGCACGCAGCCTGTTGTTACCTCGATACAGGTGAACGTGTTCGACTATCTTCCCAAGATCTGAAGGCGACCAGGGTAACCGAAGCCACGACTCAGGTGAGTCTCCACCACTCTAAACAAGACTCCCCAAGACTTTTCCGACCCACCGAAGGCCCTTATAATCGGAGAATTATTAGCGTCGGCTTCAGATATTTCCCCAGATCGCACTGCTGTGGTCCTCGCTTCGAAGTCCAGCGTGGGCCACGTCGCATGAGAGTACCCACTCCCTACTGCGCCCACGATTTGGCCAGATTTCGGAGTTCTAGCAACATCTATAGGCCACTTTTCATGCCCACGTGTACGCACGCGGGCTTTTACTGTTCAGCAGGGAGTTGGTATCGTATCTGCTAAGCTATCGAATTCTCAAAACGCTTAGAGGTACACCAAGAGTACCGCCGCCAAGTCCAAAGGCCCGCGCGTAAGTGCAGGCAGGATTATGTTGCTTAATATGGTATCTCATCAAACAACATCATTGATAAGCTAAGTCTGCGTTGGATGCTGCTCCAAAGATCTACAGTAGGTACCTCATGACTCAACGAGTGGTTGGTACCATCGAAACGCATTGTCAGGGTCATATCTCTGCTTGAGAAGCCGTAGCTTCTCCAATCTCCAGGACTCGTAGCCGTACAGTGCTTCGGGCGGGTCCTTCAAGGTCGCCGTACCATTACCATAGCTCACATACTGTTGCAAACGGCCGTATCCAGACGTCTCGACGAAGCGTTGCTTCCAGTAGTTGAGATGGTCCTCGAAAACCTTGCGGTCTTCCAGTCGCTTTGGTGTCGCATTCAGCATACTACATCCCATACGTTAGAACTTGCTTCGTATAGGAACCAATGTGATACACTCACAGAAAATGATTCGAACCACCGCGCCACGGAAAGGCTGTCGCATCGTCGGGGATCTCGCGAACACGCTGATCAGGTAGGCATTCAAACATGGCACTGAACCAGCCGCGGTCCTCCCACTCCTCACTCATAGCTTTGACACTCTCAAAGAACTCGCGTGTCGTCTTGAGGTCGAACTTGTCGACGCAGGCGGCGCCCATCATCTTATAGGGGCCTCGGAGCCAGACTTCGGGATTACAAAAGAGCTTGTTTATCTCTTTGTAGGTGGTGAACGGTAGCTCTGGCCATGACACGGACTTCCGCCCGGTGATCAAGACTGGGTCCAGGGACTCGAAGCGCTGCACATAGGGGTCTGCACCCACAGCTGGACCAGACCAGACTAGATTGACGAGAATGATGTGCTGGGCCTTGTTAGCAGCGTGGATGCCTTACTCGTTAAGCGCCCTACCTTGCGACCGCTGCTCTGGCGCAACCATAGGACGAAGATTGCCAAGTCCGCGGGCATAGTCTCGTAGACGCTATTCAGCGTCTCAAATACCGCATCGCACTGATCCAATGTATACTCCAGATCCCAAGTATGGTGTATACCTCCGTGCGGCTGCGGATAGACTTGGAACGTGACCTCGACTGCGATACCAAAGTTATGGCCTGCGCCACGAATGGCCCAAAACAGATCCGGATGCGAGTCCTTGGATGCAACTACCACACTTCCGTCGGCGAGTACGAGCTTACACGAGATCATGTTGTCGTTTAGAAAGCCATATTTGCCTTGCAAACGACCAAGGCCTGCACCAAAGGCTACACCAATGACACCAGTCGTAGGACACGATCCCACATCTTTCAGCTTTGTAAGTACTTTGGCTGGCACTAGAGGCTTTGTTACACTTACTGACTTCCATACCCAAATCATGCACGAAGCGCACGAACTCATCAGTGATCGCTCCACCACCGGCGGTAACATGCCGCTTCTCAGCATCCCATCGCATGTAGTTGAGTGGGCGCATGTTGATGCATATACCGTTCTTAAACTGTCTCATTGTGGTAGTGACTGCATGGTGGCCACCACGGGGTGTGAATGGAATACCCTTCTCCCGCGCATACTTAACAACTTCGACCACGTCGTTCTCACAACCTGGATCGACGACAGCGAGGTATGTTGGGCGCTCGTACTGAGTAAAGCGAAGGTTGCCTTTGTCGAAGCCTGTCTTGTCCTCGTCGAACGGCAGATGGATGCGCGCTTCGCTGGAAAGCTTCTGTTGAAGCTCGGCACGGATTGTCTTTGCCAATGAGGCAAGCGCGTCGTCGGAGCCATGTTGGTTATCCATGTTTTTTGGTAACACAGAGGTTACCGCGTTGACTGACGATACCAAAGAGACACGTCAAGACCGAAAAGAGATGGTGTTTCGTACCTCGAGTCGCTCAGCTACCCGCAGACCACCAGTTCGTCATCACAGCCCATCTCTTGGACACATTGACAGGCCAGTAACCCAACGATACCGCGTGCTGGAGGCTACGCAAGAGGAACTGGCATTCTTCCAGATCAACAGGGGTATAGAAATGCTCCACCTTACACTGTATCGCCGTGTAGTAATCACGAGTCATTTTTCTCCGTACCCGTGGTCAAGCTTCCACCATTCACCCCAAACACGTGGCCCAGCTGCACATAATCGTTTGCGCACCGTTGGCAAACCCATGTATCCCGCCAGTATCCACAATTGCATGCGTACAGCCGACTATCTGCAAGCCATTTCGGAGAGAGGATCGGCCCGACAACCAAGGGCCGAATGAAAGTCCGGGTCACCTGAGCTCACCTTCGTATCTTCACCGCGGAAAACTTCAGTCTCTTTAAACACCAACTGTAGCAGAGCGTGCGTAATGGAGGGGATGCAATTGGTTACTTCTGGTCTGCATCATCGGTCGGCGAGTGCGACGTTTGGCGATAGTAAGGGAACTGGAGGTTCTTGCCAGATGCCGCATGGATCAAACATGTCGGGTTAGATGCCTCCGGCAGTTTGAGCGTTCGACGGGTTGATGAGCTGGAGAAGACTGAGATGCCCATCCCCCGCCTTTCGAAGCGTTGGTTTTGAGTTTCGTCACAGTCTGGCAACTTCACAACATCATGGCGGCTGCTTTCATACCAGATAGCCTATGGCAACAATTTCGCCAAATGCCATCGCTGACATTGCGAAATATCACCGCCGGTATCTTCGTGCTTGTAAGTCTACGTAAATTCTAATTTGGCTTCTGTATGAGCTCACAAAGATTACCAGATCCTGCTCCACGTCTTCTTCAAGGTCGTATACAGCCTCTACCTCAGTCCTCTAGCTGGTTACCCGGGCCCGAAGCTCTGGGCCATCTCTCGTCTACCATGGAATCGCGCAAACATGAAGGGTCGAATCAGCTGGAAGATTCGCGAGCTTCACGACAAGTACGGTCCTGTTGTGCGCATCGCTCCTGACGAGCTCTCTTACACGACTACGGGAGCGTGGAAGAAGATATACGGACAGCGAAACCCTGAGTTCGTGAAGGCTCTTGACGGTAGAGGCATCGCGCCTGCGAGTATAGGTGGCCAACGTAGCTTGATGACTGAGCATCAAGATCGACACTTGAGGTTGAGAAGAGCTATCGATCCGGCTTTTAGTCAAAGAGCGCTGTGAGTGTTATCATCGAAATGCAGGCATGGTATGACAATACTGATCTAATGCCAGGCGCGAACAAGAGAGCTACTTTCAAGACCACTCGGATAACCTCGTCCAAAAGCTGAAGGAACGAAGCAAAGACGGACCCGTCGACATGACTACATGGTTCAACCTCGTCGCATTCGATATCGTATCCGACCTGGCTTTCGGCGAACCATCAGGCTGCGTCAACAACCCCGAGCAACCATGGATCCAAGCTATCCTCGCCCGCGCAAAAGCTATCGTCTGGTTCCAGCTTGCCGTGCAGTACGGCTTCATGGGTCTGCTCAACTGGATGACGCCTAAATACGTCACCGAGTCAAGGAAGAAGCACATCGCGATGACAGAAGCCAAGTTGAAAGCGCGTGTCGAAGCCAAGAACCCTGGGAAGGATTTCATGTAAGCTCGATCGACTCATTACCCAGTCGAAACACTACTGACTCAGTGACTGATCAGGTCGTACATCCTCGAGAACGACGAGAAGCTCAACCACCTTGAACTGGTCATGCTCTCCTCCAACTTCATCGTAGCTGGCAGTGGCACATCGGCAGGCGGCATGTCCGGCTTGACATACCTTCTCCTGCGTAACCCAGATAAACTCGAGAAGCTCAAGCAAGAGATACGCAGCCTATTCAAGAACCGCGCAGACATGACCCTCCAAGCAGTGACCAGCTGCAAGTACCTGCGCGCTTGCCTCAACGAAGGCATGCGTCTCTACCCACCAACTCCGGGCTCACTACCACGCTTCGTCCCTGGTAAGGGCGAAATGATCGAGGGCAAATGGGTTCCTGGTGGTTATGCCGTTGCTGTCAATCAGCTGGCAGCCGGACACTCTGAGCGCAACTTTAAGAAGGCTCGTGAGTTCCATCCGGAACGCTGGCTCGATGACGCACCTGAGGAGTTCAGGAATGATGACCGTTCTGCTGTTCAGCCATTTTCGTATGGTCAGAGGGCTTGTATCGGACGGTCTATGGCTTATGCCGAGATGTCGCTTACGATGGCGAAATTGGTACGATTCTTTGACTGGGAACTGAATGATCCTGGTAACGACTGGTGGAACAAGCAGGGTACTTACTTGGTGTGGGAGAAGCTGCCTTTGATGGTCCAGCTGACGCCCGTGTCTGATCTGGACGGATAGCGGCAGCCGAAGATGAAGCCACGGAGGTGTTTCCGGTGTATCTGCCTTGCGTGTAGTGATGTAGATAGCGAGGTATCGAAAATATAACCGCAAACGCAATGACTCGCTCCCGGCCATACCCACAAGCAACGCCAAGCGGGCGACTTCTAGATCAGAACCCAGAAAACTGACTGGATACTCATCCCCTGCTTAGTGCTATGCACGTGGGTCAAGATTGGTGCGTCAGGATGAATAGCTCGGTAGCATACTTAAACTGAGAGTGGCGCACTACTAGATCCACACAGCTTCGAATACAGGAGTGCCTACACCAAAGATGCAAACACACCTCCTCATCATAGGAGCTAGCTTGCTTCTCTTTATTCATCTAACCAACACGCTCATCATCAAACCCCTCCGCAACTACCTCAAAAGCCGTCAACTAGGATGTGGTCCCGTCCCCGTCGAGCCCTACCACCTCCCCTTCGGAATCGACACCATCCGCCGCAGTCTCCTCGCCGACCGCGAGCAACGCACTCCCGATTTCGTCTTCTCGCGCTTCATGGCCATGAACCGGTACACATGGGCTATATCACTACTTGGCACAACCAATCTGATCACGGCCGAGCCACGCAACATCCAAGCCCTACTCGCCACGCAATTCGACGACTTCATCATGGGTACAGCTCGACGCACGAATTTGAAACGGGCGCTGGGGCGCAGCATTTTTGCTGTTGATGGGGTGGCTTGGCATAGGGCGAGGGAGACTATGCGGCCGCTTTTTAGTAGGGAGAACGTGAGTCGGCTGGAGGTGTTGGAGGGGCATGTGGGGAGTTTGTTACGAGTTATCGAGGGGAAAGAGGGGGGATTGAGGGTTGATGAGGAGGGGAGGGCGTGGTCGGCGCCGGTCAGTTTGGCGGCCTTGTTACCGAAGCTGACGATGGATTCGGCGACAGAGTTCTTCTTGGGGATGAGTACGGGGTCGCTCGATAAGTTGCTTGAGGAGCAGCGACAGGAGAAGGAAGGCGACGAGAATCATGGAGAAGAAAGCTTCGACCACGCATTCGAGCGTATGCTCTCCATCCTCGGAACCAGAATGCGTCTTCGCAGCTTCTACTGGCTCTACGGCAACACCGAACTAAATAAATGCATCAACACTCTCCACGCCTTCGTCGACCGCGCAATCGACGCCGCAGACCAAGCGAGAAAACAAGGTTCTTCATCCCTCCGCTACGACTTCCTCGAAACACTGCGATCGCGCTGTTCCGACCGCGCTGAAGTCCGCGAGCAAGTTCTCGGTCTGCTAGCCGCAGGTCGAGATACGACAGCATCACTCACATCATGGGTTTTCTACTGCTTAGTAAGAAACCCACGCGTATACAAAAAGCTACGTGAAATCATTCTCGCGGAATTTGGATCTTACACGAGTACTACGCCTGGACAGAGTATCACGTTTGAGAAACTCAAGAGCTGCACGTATCTACAACATGTTCTGAACGAAACACTACGATTACATTCAGTAGTCCCGTTCAACTCCCGTTGCGCCATCCGCGACACTGCCCTGCCCACCGGCGGCGGTCCCTCCGGCACACTCCCCATCTTCGTGCCCGCGGGCACAGAAGTAAACTTCAGCACGCACGTCCTGCACCACCGAAAAGATCTCTGGGGCGAAGACGCCGATGAATTCATACCTGAACGCTGGGAGAAGAGGAGACCGGGGTCAACTTGGCAGTATGTGCCGTTTAATGGTGGACCGCGCATTTGCATCGGGCAGCAGTTTGCGCTTACGGAGGCGGGTTTCGTGATTGTGAGGTTGGTGCAGAGGTTTGATGTTATTGAGGGGTTGGATGTGGATTTAGAGAGGGACTGGCATAATTTTACGGTTGTTTGTAGCCCGGGGAGTCCGGTGAAGAGGGAGGAGGCGGTGTTGTGTAGGTTGAGGGTTGCTGTTGAGTAGGTGACGATAGTCTTCAAAGATTTGTACTGTGGCGTCGTTCTCACTACTTAACTCAGATATGGCTCAATTTGTCGATGGTGGTAGGAGCGTGAGTCCAGTCACGTGCCGACTTCTCTCAACTTCGAACCCAATGCTCATGACAGAATGTACGCTGAGCGCTCACTCTTTCCTCTTCCATCACCACCGACCTCGTAACGATGCCATGCAAGTCCCGAGTCAGTACAACGACCAACGGCGACTAGGCCTCACTAACGAGGCCGGACCGAATGCGGGATCGAAGTACTAGTATCGCCGAGAGCAGGAGCCGCGTGGGGTTACAGTATCGAGGACTACGAGTGGAGTCGCATTCAGGATCAGACGCTCGCGGTAAGTCGATCAGCCACGTGGAGATACATTTTCTTCCATTGGCTCATTGACTGCTGCATCTGCGACGATGGCAACGATGCCAGAACTGTCCTACGTACGAAGGAGAATCAGCAATCGAAGTTGAAGTGATTGGTCCGCTTTACTTACGAGAAAGAAGATATGTGTCGATGCCACTACCTTGAACCTGTGGCCATGAAGCTCGTCCTGTGAGTACTAGACAGAAGGACCAGAACGAGCGAACACCAAGCTCAACGCCGAGATGTTGTTCACTATAGCCCTTCTCATCTTCCTCAGTGTACGCCAACACCTTCAACACCATAAGGAACCTCCAACATCCTAACCGCGCACAGCCTGTACTTTACTTCCTCCTCCGCTCCCTCTACTACCTCACCCTCCACCCCCTTTCACGCTTTCCAGGCCCAAAACTCTGGGCCATCTCCCGCCTCCCCTGGCACTATGTTAACCTCCGCGGCGACCTCGCATGGCGCATCCGCGACATGCACATCTACTACAACAGCCCCGTGATACGCATCGCACCCGACGAGCTGTCCTACACCAGCAGCACAGCCTTGAAGAAGATCGACGGCTCGCCCCCACCACGCGAGTTCCTGAAGTGTCTGGATGGCCGTGGTATCGCTCCTGCGGTCGTGAACGGACGTCGTAGTATCGTTACTGAGACGCCTGAGCGACATGCTGTGCTCCGGCGTGCGCTTCAGCCAGCGTTCAGTGAGCGCGCATTGCGGGATCAAGAAGATTTCTTTCGGGATCACACTGATCGGCTTGTTTTCCAGTTACGGAAACCACAGTATCATGCTGTAGAGCAGAATATCCTCCGTTGGTTCAGCCTGTTGAGTTTCGACATCATGAGCGACCTGGCCTTTGGACAACCAGCCGGCTGTCTCGACCGCGCCGACGAGCCCTGGCTTGACGTTATTGGTTCGCGCGTCAAAAGCATTGTTTGGTATCAACTCGCTACGTACTACCATATCGAGTGGATACTCAAATGGACGGCACCCAAAGCGGCTATGGAGGCGCGGAAGCGGCATCAAACACTCACCCTCCAAAAGGTACAGCGACGGATTGATGAGGAGCGCGCTGGCACCCGAAAAGGGAAGAGACGGGATTTCATGAGCTACATCCTTGGTAACGAGAGTGAGAATTTGAGTAACATGGATCTTTTTGGTATGGCGAGCGCGTTGATTGTGGCGGGCAGTAACACGACTACGTATACGATGAGCGCATTTGTCTTCTTCGTTTGTGGGCATTCGGACGCTTATAAGAAGGTCATTGCCGAGGTGCGGGGTAGGTTTGCGAGCGAAGAGGAGATTACCATGGTTGCTGCTGGTGAGCTGGTTTACTTGAAGGCCTGCATCGAGGAGTCGATGCGTATATCGCCGCCTACGCCATCAGCTTTGCCGCGCTGGGTTCCAGAGGGTGGAGAGGAGATAGATGGAAAATGGGTACCGGGAGGTGTAAGTATTTGTTCGCGTCTCGGCCGTGGCGATTTTGTACTGACTAGTCGACCAACAGACAGCTGTAGGCGTGCACAATCTCGCAGCCTGTCACGCTCCATGGAACTGGCACCGGCCTCTTGACTTTATCCCAGAGAGGTGGCTGCAGACGAAAGATGGGGAGTTTGCTCGTGATAACCGAGGTGCATCTCGTCCTTTCTCCTATGGTAGACATGATTGCATTGGACAAACGTAAGATCTCTCTTTCCCTTCTCGGTATCGGTGGAACGATCGCTGACTTCATGGTTTTCCAGTATGGCTATGAATGAGATGAAACTGGCTTTGGCTAAGCTCTTCTGGAACTTTGACATCTCGCTCAGCCCAAACAGTGAGAAGTGGTGGATCACACAAAAGTCGTATTTGGTCTGGGAGAAGAAGCCGCTCATGGTCTCCATCAGGCCGGGGCGGTAGTCAGAACTTGATTGAGCATCTGCTGTATCAGCACGTAAATCTACAAGGCTATGCATACCGGCAGCGTCAGAACAGTGTACAGAACGCTTGCGTAGGCCTCATGACGATCAAGTACGCCCTATACGGTGAATACGGTGAATACGGGTGATGATGTGTGTGCGTGTATCAGACCTGGACATCGTTGATTTACCTCATGTGATTCGACAGCAGAAAGCCTGTCTTTCCGATAACATTTTTACCAAGCCAGGATGTTGGTTGCGCGTGTTCCGTTGTACTCTTGGAGTGTAGACCAATTATGCGCGATGCGTTTGCAGTGGCACTTTACTCGGCCCATTACACTTCGGCCCGAGCGTGTTGAAACTAGGATGGGGTCTACCGGTAGATCGTATTGATAGCAGTGGGCGCTCTTCGGCGCTCACATTCGAGTTAGACAGCGGCAAGTAAGATGGCCACTCCTTTGACCACGTGGTAGGCGGTCCAATAAATGAGTATGGAATGTTTACCACGGTCCACGGTGAGCAGCAACTTGGGGTAGTCACCTCTCTGCCGAGCTTACAATGGTCGAGAAATATCACCTTCTGTCGTACTCCCGACCATCTTCTCTCGTCAGCCATTCTGCGTGACTGAAACCAGCTTTGGTCTGAGCCATGGCGACACCAACTTCCATTGCCGAACGCCCAAAGCGAGAGCTAAAGGTACTTTCATTGGGAATGACACGTACTGGTGAGTTCCTCCAACGTTTGCTTTTGCTATTGTTACAACCGTTGGGAGAAGCTGACTGAAGCGAGGGTAGGGTCGGCCTCTATCACTCAAGCTCTCGAGATCCTCGGATATCAAGGCGTTCACCATGGCATTAAAGCCATCAGCTCCCCAATCGAATGGGAACTCTTTAGCAAGGCATGCGATTCCTTCTACCCCTCGCTCCCGACCTACACGGGCGCACCCTTCACACGCGCCGACTGGGATGTGATCTTTGGTCCTTATGAGGCCGTTACCGATATGAGCTCTTTCTTCGCCACGCAGCTCATCGAGGCTTATCCCGAGGCGAAGATCATCCTGGTAGAGCGGGATATCGACGAATGGTACGATAGTATGGAAGCAGCCATCTTCAGCACGACATGGGGCCTTCGCGCTGATCTCGTGATCAACGTATTGGGTCCTCTCTATGGACTCAAGGGCGGCAGCACGATTCGTAAGATCATGTTGGGCTTCTATGGCGTGAGCAATGTGCAAGAGATGCGAGGAGTTGCCAAGGATCGGTATAGGTTGCACTATGCAGAAGTTCGGGCTGCGGTCCCTGCCGAACGCTTGCTCGAATTTCGCTTGGAGGATGGCTGGAAGCCGCTGTGTGAGTTTCTGGAGAAAGATATGCCAGACGAGCCATTTCCTGTGAAGAACAAAAGAGAGGAGCATGTGAAGAGGGTGAGACAAAGGCAGGACATGTTTTTCAAACACTTTGCAAAGAATTTTGCCAAGAAAGCGATACCTTGCGCGCTGGGTGTTGGCATCCTAGGCTTGGTGTTGTTGAGAAGCAGGTCTGGTGCGCGATGGGACGCGATGTTGAGCGCCCTCAAGAAGACGTTCAAAGAGGCATGGTGATGGGTTTCGCTGGTCGTGGCGGCGGCTGATCGGCAGAGTGGGACAGCGGAATGATCGCGAAGATTCTCTTTGGCACACCTCAAGCTATCCGCAATGAAGCATCAGGCACCGCATAGTACGACTTTCTTCGCTTCTCTCCAGCCAGAGAAGCCAGTTGTTCCTACGGGGTGAATTCTTTCGCATTTGCAAGCAAAACTGACGTGTCGTGAATGGCGGGCAGAATGCTTCGATCCAGGCAACTGTCAGAAGACCTGGCGCATTGTGTTCTCACCCTGTGGCAACAAGATTGAGGAAACGTTGCATGTAGACTACGGAGTCATCGAGGTGAATGATGCTGGCGGTGCGGTGGAGCCGGTGTCTCGTGTAGATCTGTCTGCCTAGCGACTGGAAGACTACCGAAAGGACACCTGGAACTTGGGACAGACAACGAGGGCCGTGTCCGGGATTACCGACGCAGCGACTCAGACTGGCTGGGATTTCGCGCATGGTGGAAACGGCGATTTTGCAACCCAGATGAGTTCATTCGCGACTTGGACGTTGAGATGGTAGAGCACCGAGGTTTGTAGGTGTTCGCGTTCGCTTAGTTGGAGGGGTAAATTGGACTAGAGGCACGATAGCGATAACGACGGAGCTGCGACTTCCTCACCACCGCCTACACAAGAAGCTACTGTGGCCTATAGGTTTGCGTAGCGCGGAGTCACACATGCTACACGGGAGCCGTGAAAGCCCAGTGCTAGCGAATTACACGTGTCCTGTAGCCAGCTGCGTCAAACGCAGGTGAAATTGAGGCTGATGCGGGCGGTTGGGGCAAAGTGAACGGGCCATGGGCGAGCTGCGCGCTAGACCGTTTGCGGAGCAAGATCCTCGAGATCGCAAGGTGTTCTTTCGAAATACTTCCACGACGTGTCCATATAACAGTAGCCGCCCACCGCTACTTGCCCTTCCTCCTCCACTCACCTTGCAACTGCAACCACCGCAACTCGCCTTTTGTTTCTTTCTCAGCGATACCCGGAGAGCCCCGTCTACTCCACACATTGCGAGCTCCCAGAGAGTTACGCCCGCACTTGCACCTGGCATCTAGGCCATACCCCCAGTCTTGACGACTACACACAC